GAGCCTTTCCAGCGCCATTTCTCTCGCGCGCCGGGCGGCAGCACTCACCCTCTGCTGCGGTGTGTGCGGGGCTGCCAGAGGGAGGGAGAGGGAGGGAGGGGATGAAGGAGGGGAGGAGAGCAGAGCGCCGGAGCAGGCAGTGTGCCCGATACCGGCGGTGCGGGGTAGAGCGGAGCGGGCTGCGGCGGAGTCCGCCTCCCTCCGCCGGGGCCCTGCGATGTGTCGGCGCTGGTGCCAAAATGTGTAGTTCGCATTTCCTCCTGCCCGGGTGGAGGGGGAAGGGGCAGGGGCCAGAGCGATATTTTGGGGATACGGTGCGCCCTCCCGCTCCCTGCCAGTACCACGCGTATAGAGGGGTAATGCGGAGCCGCCCCCGGCTAATTATAACCCGAGCTTTGAGCCTTCGGGTCCGCTCGGCAATTTCCGGAAAAATAAAATAAATAAAAAACCCAAAAACCAGCCGTGACACGGTGCCAGCGGTGGTCGGGGCCGCTTCGGCTCTCCTCGAGCACGTCTCGCGAGCCTGTTCCGTTGTCGGAAATTGCCGAGCGGGCCGGGGCAGTCAACTGGCTGCGTCTCTCTGTCCGGAAATTGCCGAGCCGGAGCCGAGCGCCATTTTTGCCTGCTTCGGCAGGTTCCGGAAATTGCCGAAGTGAGCCGAATGGGCTTCCGTTCCCCGTTCGGCTCTTTCCGGCGGCTGTCGAAGTGCATAAGCTCGACGACGACGGCTTCTTCGGCTCATTCCGGAGACGGCCATTACTAACGGAGTCGATGACTTTTCATTGCGCGATAAAAACACGTAGGGGCGTTATACAGAACTGCCGCCCCTCTGGAGACATTTAAGATCCAGATTCTAGCTTTTTTTTTTTTTTTAATTAATTAATCCATAATATCGGAAGCGAGCCCGGGCTGAAGAAGGAGGGCGCTAGCTCTACGCGGAGCTGAATTTCAAATTACGTAACAGTTCAGGCAGCCATTACCGACCGGTTGTACGGTACTCTCGAGCAGGAATACGTAAACCATGAAGAACATGGTACGTAGGAAGGGAGGATTCAGAGTTTGGTTTTAAGGAGGGAGGCGCATTTGCTTCTGCGGGAGGAGTGAATTTTTCCGGGGCTGGGCATTACTAGCAGGCTTGAGTCTTTGTCTGCGCGGGTCTTGGCGCCGCCGCCGAGTCGCACCGCGGGCCGGGCGCTGGGTGTGTGCGCGGAGGAAGGTTCTGGAAGGGGCGGCTGGGGCTGACGCGCACCCAGGCAAGGCAGCGGAAGCTGCGGTAACCGCGCATGGTGAACAGCGCATTCTTAAGCAGTGGCCGCGCTGCCCAGAAGTGTCGTCGGAGGAAGGGGATGGGGGACTCCGGGGGTCGGTCGGTGGGCGGGCCGGGGGCCGCCTTGGCCTCGCGAGGTGCGGAGCGGCCGGGGCGGTGCAGTGGGTAATGGCGGTGCCGAGGGGGAGGGGTAAAATGGCGGCCTGGCCGAGGATCGCAGCTGCCAGGGGTTGGGGGGGTCGCTCGGGGAGAACGGGCGAGGCGGTGGGGGAAGCTGTAGTCGTTCGGTATCCGCGGGGGCGGGAAGGAGCGCCGGAGAGGTCTTCCTGGTGCCAGGTGTGTAGCTGCACGCTGGAAGCGCTTTGCAGCCCTGTCCCTTGGAACGGGCGGCTGCTCCCGGGCGCCATTTTCCCCCGCCGGCTCGGGGCCGCGGTGTTCCTGCTGCCGCCACATGGCGGAGCCGGCGCGGCCGCCACGTCCCGCCCGCCTCAGGCGGCGAGCGGGGAGCCGGGCTGAGGAATTGCGGAGCTCTGGAGTTTTGGGATCCCCTATCGCTTGTCTCCGTCAAACAATTTTGTTACCCTAGTTAGTAATTCTGCGGTCGGCGTAGATTGTGTGCCCACGTGTTATTGCTATATCAGACAGGTTTCCTTGCTTCGGTGATTATTACTCCAGTAAAGGCTGTGCGTTTTCTAGTCCTTTCAAGTGTTTCTTTAAGCCTGTAAAGGAAAACTTAAAATGCATACAAACGAAGATTCTACAGGGGTTGTAAAGATTTCCTCTCGCAGTCCGTTCCTACCACAGGGTGTATTGTAGAAATCTTCAAGGAAGTGTTTCCTCTAGTTTTTATTTTGTAGGCTTTGGTAGACATGGAGTGTCAGTGTGTTTTTACCAAATGAAGATTTCCCTCAGGATTTTAGGAGGGACAGGGACTTGAGTGATGATAATTATCGTACATTTTAAATCTTCAGCATAAGCTTTACGCGGTCAGAGCTCTCTGGACCCTGGTGGGAGGTTAATGTTAGGTTAACCAGAGCTTCTTCAAACTGACAGCACTTTAAACGAATAGATTCTCCACACTCAGAGGCTGTGTGTGTGTTAGTACAGCAGCATGTTTAAGTTGGTTTTGCACAGTGATTTTCCTTAAAGTACTGGTAATACATTTTGTTATTGGTGTGTCCTGAGACGTGGTGCCTAGATGTCGTTCTGGGTGAGGTATGACACTGAATATGTCTGTGAAGTGTATTACTGTCCTGTTCGATGTTAGTTAGTAATGTGTGGTACGTTTTGTCATTGTTCCAGGTGATAGGTTCTATTCTTTCCTTGAATTTTATTTACATGTTTATAACTTTTCAGAGGTGAACCTAATACTTGTTGGAAAAAGCCTAGCAGCCTACTAAATGTGCTTGATTTTCATATTTGTATAATAATGTGCATTATTAAATGCATGATAATTGATTGTATAGGGAAAAGTGTCTTTTGTGAGCTTATAAAACAGTAACCACGTGGTCCCTAATTTTTAGGCAGCAGAACTGAAGTAATTTCAAGCGAGGATTTTTTTTGCAATATTATTGCTTAAAAAGTTTTCTTTGCCAGCTTACTCAAATTAAAAAAAATTATAGTATAACAGGCACCATATGGGGTTTTTTAGCCCAGATCTGGTATGCAGTGTTCTTTATTTCTTTTATGAGATAAAGCAAAAGGAAATGACATGACATAAAACATAGGTTTGCCGCTTTTAAACTCTCGTGTGTCATTTTACCTGTCTGTAGAAGGAGGCGACAGTACTAGCTTTGTCCATGTTCCTAGAAGAAAAAATATTAGATCCAACAGCAGATTACAAGTGTTTTCAAGAGACATTTAAACTGGCGGTTCTCAAATATCTAGATCCAGGCCTGCCTTGAACAACCTCAGAAAACACGTTGGTCTGCATGCAGGTTGGCTTAATACTTCTAAAAGCATATGTGCGCTGAGGTATTTTGCTTGTTTTTTAAGTCTCATTGTTTATCTAGTTTCCTTTTATCCGTTTACCTTATTGTCCCATGCATAGCTGGTCATGTTGTGTTTGCCAGTTACAATTTTCTGTGCCTTGTTCGGGTTTTTAAAAAACCAACCACCCCCTAAAGGAAACCAAAACACCCAGGCAGATTTTCTCGATTTTTAAAGTTATATGTCAGCATAAAGCTAAAGTCATCATTGCTTTTGAATTCTCTTGTGCTTAGCAGGACAGTTTTCTTTAAAACAACATTCAGAAATCAAAAATTCTGTGAAAAGGGAACAACTTTTTAGTGCATTTTTAAATTGCTTGACAT